GTAGTCTGCATAACAGTAAATCATTTTTTTTTTTTTTTTGTGAATAAAAATTCCAAATGGTAAGCAAGAGTAATATAAGAGGGGCCTGTAGCCATGACTAATGAACAGAGGAAGTTGTTTTAGTGCCAGGAATGTCTGCATTGTTTATTCTGGACCCTGTTTTGAAATTGAAATCTGTTGAAATTTGTTAAATTGGCCAAATTGCCAATTTCTGACCACTTTATTGGGTAGTTGAAATAAGTGAATGGACGGTTTCTTGTACTCAGTTGACAGACTAGAAGTAAATAAGTTCATTCAGGTATACACAAATAGTTACATAGATTATCATACATAGCAGTGTATGTATAGAGAACCTAGAATAACACAGAAAAGCCAGACAAAGTGACTTATTTCCAGTACCTGGCTTGGGCTTGCCATATATGATTTTTGGTAAATATTTTTTTTTCTCGGTTGTTTGTTGGGCTATCTCATTGAAACTTGGGCAATGTATGATGGAAAGATGCTTCTTAACGTACAACAAAAATAAAAAAGACGGACGATAAATAAGGGAGTTCACTTCTCAGCCATTAGCCGCCTCTTTGAAGTATATTTTCGTATGGTTTTCATGGTTGTATTCTCATTTTTTGGACTCGTTTGATAGAATGGAAGATGTATTACTGAAATAGACATGATTTTGATTGCTTTCATGACGAAAAGTACCTTGAAATTGAGCTCAAAGCAGCGGAAATGTTCGATTTTTGCCGATGTTCAATGAACTGTGCAAGTCAAGTTGGTTAATTTCATTAAGTGTATTCTAACCTTACCACTCTGTAATTCGGCAAACTCGGTAATCCGGCACACTACAGGTCCCAATGATGCCGGATTTGTGATGGAGGACCTGTATATATATGTCAAAGCTAGGTAGTAGGTTGGTAGACGGCAACCGCCCAGGGAGGTACTACCGTCCTGACAAGTGAATGTAAAATGAAAGTCTGTAATTGTTTTACATAATGGTAGGATTGGCTGTGTTTTTTCTTTCTCCTGAACATGCAAGGTTTCAGGTATGTCTTACTACTACTACTTACACTTAGGTCACACTACACATACATGTACAAGCATATGTATACACAGCCCTCTGGGTTTTCTTCTATTTTCTTACTGGTGGCCTGGTGGCTTAACGCTCTCGCTTCACACGGCGAGGGTCTAGGTTCGATTCCCAGCCAGAGTAGAAACATTGGGCGTGTTTCTTTTCACCTGTTGCCCATGTTCCCCATCAGTAAAATGGGTACCTGGGTGTTAGTAGACTGGTGTGGGTCGCATCCTGGGACACTGGCCTAATTTGCCCAAAATGCGGAGCATAACAAGGGACTTTCTATATAGTAGTATGTCATTGTTGTCAGCTAGGACTGTATACCTTGTACATGTACTTGTAGTAAATAAAGATATTATTATTGTTTATTTCCTCTTATCTGTTCAGTTTTTTTAGGGCCGTGCTTGTTATAGAGGTATTGAGCCTTTAGAAAATTATTAACCCTTTGACTGTCGCGGTCGTATATGTACGTCATAGGAGATACCGTGTTTGACGTATCTATACGCATAAATTCTAGCGGCTTCAAATCAAACAGGAGAAAGCTGGTAGGCCCACATGTGAGAGAATGGGTCTCCATGTCAGTGTGCACCCTAAAAAAAAAAATCGGGGGCCCAAGGGAATTTTTTTTTTTCCCCCCCAAAAAGGAAAATTTTTTTTAAAAAAATTTTTGGGGATTTTTTTTTTTAAAAAAAAAAAAGGGGTAAAATTTTTTTTAAAAACCCCCCGGGGGGTTTTTGGGCCCCCTTTTTTTTCCCCCCTTTAAAAAAAATTTTTGGGGCCCCCTTTTTTTTTTTAAAAAAAAAATTTTTGGTTTGCCTTTTTCCATTTTGGGGGGAAAAAGGGGTTTTTTCTTCCCCAAAAGGGGGGGTCTTTTTTTTTTCCCCTTAAAAACCCCCGGGGGGAAAAAATTTTTTTTAAAATTTTTTTCCCCCCTTTTTTTTTTAAAGGGGGGGTTTTAAACCCCTTTTTTGGGGGGTTTTTTTGGGCCCCCAAAAGAAAAAGGGGGGGTTTTTTTTTTTGGGGGGGTTTAGAAAAAGGGGGGGGGGGGTTTTTGGGGGGGGGGGGGGGGGGGGGGGGGGCCCCCCCCGGGGGGGGGGGAAAAAGGGGGGGGGAAAAGGGGGGGAAAAAAGGGGGGGGGGGGGGGGGGGGGGAAAAAAAAAAAAAGGGGGGGGGGGGGGGAAAAAGGGGGGGGGAAAGGGGGGGGGAAGGGGAGGAGGGGGAAAAAAAAAAAGGGGGGGGAAAAAGGGGGAAGGGGGGGGGGGGGAAAAAAAAGGGGGGGAAAAAAGGGGAAAAAAAAAAAGGGGGGGGGGGGGGGAAGGGGGGGGGGAAGGGGGAAAAAAAGGGGGGGGGGGGGGGGAAAAAAAAAAAAAAAAAAAAGGGGGGGGGGGGGGGGAAAAAAAAAAGGGGAAGGGGAAAAAAAAGGGGGGGGGGGGGGGGGGGGAAAGGGGGGAAAAGGGGGGAAAGGGAAAAAAAAAGGGGGGGGGGGAGGGGGGGGGGGGGAAAGGGGGGGGGGGGGGGAGGGGGAAAGGGGGGGGGGGGGGGGGGGGGGGAGGAGGAGGAGGGGGGGGGGGGGAGGATGGGGGGGGGGGGGGAAGGGGGGGGGGGGGGGGGGGGGGGGGGGGGGGGGGGGGGGGGGGGGGGGGGGGGGGGGGGGGGGGGGGGGGGAAGGGGGGGGGGGGGGGGGGGGGGGGGGGGGGGGAGGAGGGGGGGGAAGGGGAAAGGAAGGGGGGGGGGGAAAAGGGGAAAGGGGAAAAAAGGGGGGGGGAAAAAAAGGAGGGGGGGGGAAAAAAAAGGGGGGGGGAAAAAAAAAAAGGGGGGAAGAGGGGGGGAAAAAGGGAAAGGAAGGGGGGGAAAAAAGGGGGAAAGGGGAGGAAAAAGGGGGGGGGAAAGGGGGGAAAAAAAAAAAAAAAAAAAATTAAAAAAAAAAATTTTTTTTGGGTTAAGGGAAAAAGGGGGAAGGGAAGTAAAAGGGGGAAAGGGGAGATAAAGGATGGAGGGGAGAGGGGAGGAAGGAGGGGGGAAAGGGAAAGGGGAGTTGGAGAAAGAGGAAGGAGGAGGAGGAGGAGAAGAGGGGGGAAGGAGGAAGGAGGAGGGGAAGGAGGGAGGGGGAAAAAGGGAAAGATGGAGGAGGGGGAGGAAGGGAGGGGAAAGAGGGGTGATGGAGGAGGGGGAAAAGGAGGAGGGGGGAGGAGTTTGGAGATGGAGGGGGAAAGGGAGATGGAGGAGGAGGGAGAGGGGGAGGAGGGAGATGGAGGAGGGGGGAGAGGGGAGATGGAGGAGGGAGGAAAGATGGAGGAGGGAGGAGATGGAGATGAGACGACGACCGGGACAAGTTTCCTAAAGGGGTTGATAATAGGAGTTTTAGAAAGTATCTAGTGACTATATATGTGTTTTATATATTATAAAAACCCAGAAGCAAGAAGGGAAGGCAGGAAATGAAGGAAGGACTGATAAGGAAGGGAAAAAAATAAAGAAGGACAGATGAAGGAATGTAGGAAGAGAGGGGGGGAATGCCCTCCAGGTAGGAAAGGAATGAAGGGAAAATAGGGAAGGGGTTTATGACACACGGGCCATTTACCCAGGATAACAAATAAACACAAATCCTGTAAAAACTTTGAAGAAAACTGCTAGACGAGGTTTTTTGTCTTTGCCACATAAAAAAAAAAATTTAAAAAAAATGCACCACAAATGATTTTTTTGTGAGAGTGTTTAAAAACCATTGTGTATGACCCCCATGTTTTATTTTGTGGGTTTTTAAAAAAACCACTGTGTATTTACACCCTGTTTTTTTGTTTTTTGGAATTAAAACACCATGTGTTGGGCACCATGTTTTAAAGTGTGGGTTTTTTTAAAAAAACCATGTGTATGACCCATGTTTTATGTGTGGGGGGGGGGGGTTTTAAAACACACTGTGGTTTTGACACCTGTTTTATGTGTGGGGGGGGGGAAAAACCACGTGTAGAAAACCCAAAGTTTTTTTTGTGGGGGAGGGGTTTAAAAAACCCCCCTTTTGTATGACCCCCATGTTTTATTTTGTTTAGGGGTAAAACCCCCCTTTTGTATGACACCCTGTTTTTGAGGGAAACAAGTGAAACACCCTGGTTTTTATGACAATTGGGGATTTATTTAGAACCTTGCTAAAAACCAATTTTTTATTGGTTTTTTTCCTTTTTTAAAAAAAATTTTTTTATTTTGTGGTTTGGGGGTTTTTTTAAAAAAATTTGTGTAATTTCACCTTCTTTGGTTTCCCCAAGGCCCCCAGTTTGGAAAAATTTAAAATGTAAAAAAAAAAAAACCCCAAAAAAGTAAACAAATTTTTTGGGATTGGGTTTTTGAAACGGGGTTTTTTCCCAAAAATTATTTATTTTGGGGTCTTATTTTTGGGAAAAAAATTTTTTTTTTTGGGCTAAAACCCCAAACAGAAAAAAATTTTAAACATTTTCATAAGAAAAAATAATTTTTTTTTTTTTCGAATTTTTTGCGACACCGGAGACCTTCAGGTTTGGGCCCCTTGAAGTAAAAGGGTTAAATAAAATTCGTCAAACGTATAGATTTCTAGCTCATGTGTCAGTCAATGTTTGTCATTGCTGTTGTGAAGTTATTAATAGCTGCCTCATTATGAAGTCTGAAAGTGACTTTAGTAGTGTCTTGGGGTAGTTTGCCTAGATTAGTTATGAGGAAGGTAGGGTAGTGGTCTGTGGTATTATCTGTGATTATGCCTGATATTAAAGGGGATATGGCCCCTTTGGATTTAGTGCTTCCCCTTGATTAAAATAATTTTTTTGCATACAAGTAGGAAAATAGGGTTGCATACCTAGACTAGTAGGTGAACAATTGCCATACTGTCTGGTCAACTATTTGCAGTTTTTTACACGAGAACCAAATTTAGAGATCATATTAGAAGATGTATAAGTAAATAGGTGAATTTCAGGTCCTGTGTCCCGGTCAGTGGAAATGTTGGAGCAGATGATGGAAGCAGGCATGAACATTGCACGTATGAACTTCTCTCATGGGACACATGAGTACCACTCTGAGACAATGAATAATGTCCGTCAAGCTGCTGAAAATTACTCCAAGAAAATTGGACATTCCTATCCTGTAGCTATTGCTCTTGATACAAAGGGGCCTGAAATCCGTACTGGTCTCTTGGAAGGAGTAAGTAACAATTTGAACTGTTTTGTATGTATGTAGGTATATATGTATGTATAGAGGTATTTACCCCAACATGTTTGCACAAGCCTGTTGAATGCTGTCTTTTAACACTAAAACCTCACTTGCCTCTTCCCTCTTACCATTCCTGGGATGACCCCTATCCTTCTTGCCTTCCATTCCAGCTTTATGCACCCTTTTCATCATCCTATCTCGTTTATCGTTTCTGCCCAAACCACCTTCTCAACCCCTCCTTAGCTTTCTGAATTATATCATTGGTGACTCTGGTCTTCAGTTTTCCTCCAGTTTTTTTTTTTAACACATCAGGGTGACAAAAAAAAAAACTTTCACCACCATTCACTTTATCAGTCTTGCCATAGATATGCTAATGGTACAGCTCAGATGCCCCTTCAGACTGCAAATATCTCCACCCTTCCTTCAGAGTGTAGGTACTGTACTTCCCACCTCCAGGACTCGAGCCCAGCTAACTGGTTTTCCTGAATCCCTTTATAAAATGTTACCTTACTTGCAGGCAAAACCCACAGACAAAAAGACACCAAAAGAATAATTCTGTAGATCAAAAGGCTTTTCTTTGTCGAATATAAGCACAACGTGCTGTGTATGAATGATGATGAAAGTTTCTTTTTTGGGTCACCCTGCCTCGGTAGGAGATGGCCAACATGTTAAAAAAAAAAAAAAAAAAAAAAAAAAAGTGCTATTTATACTTTATGTATACATACAGTAGTCCCCCCAAATTCTCGGGGTTACGTTCCAAGACCAACCACAAATTCTGGATGTGGTTAAAAAAATACCTAAACCCTAAGCATGTCCCCAAAACACTAATTTAATTTCAAGCCAGGTTTCTTTGGAATGCTGTAATTCATGCAACCCCGTTTTCTTTGGTATACGTATGGTAAATATACGGTGCAGGTTGGCCATCACTAATCCGGCATCATTGGCAACTGTAGTGTGGTGGATTAGTGATTTCACTGGATTACAGAGTGGTTAGGTTAGCATGCACTTAATTAATCTGTCAATAGAGAGACTGCTACATTTTCCTCATTTTCATCACTGCTTTCTCCTCCACTGGCTTGCTGCTGTGGATGTACAACCATCTGCACTAATTCTGAGTCAGTATAATGATGAAATTTGAAATAATGCTAGCTGAAATTAGTGCCGGATTACTGATGGAACTGGATAACTGATTGCCGGATTAGTGATGGTCGACATGTAGTAATTTAATTTAGTAAGAGTATTGTAATTTATATGGAATTTTTGGTGAATTTAATTGTTAAAAAATTAAATTATATTTTTCTTAATATTAAGCGTTAAAATGCATAAATTTTGTATTGCCATAAAAAAAGCAATTTGTGGGGATTTCCACAAACAATTATTAGTTAGGTTCTAAGGAAAAATCAGTGAATTACTGAAGCCGCGAATTTGGAACCGCTAATTCGCAGGGGTTCACTGTATACGGAATTTTAATGTGTCCATTGAAGGTACATTGTGCATTAAGTGGTGTTCTTGGTAAATTTAAAATTGCATTCAAGATATTTTGTTTCTAAAGCATTAAATATTTTCCCAGGGTGCTAGTGCAGAAATAGAGCTGAAAACTGGAGAGAAAGTAAAGTTAACTACTGACAAGTCATGGTACGAGAAGTGCTCTGCAGAAGTAGTCTACCTTGACTATGTCAACATTACAAAGGTTGTCAAGACAAACAACCGCATTTTTGTTGATGATGGCTTAATTTCTCTCATTGCCAAAGAAATAGGTTTGTATTCCATTACAACTTTTTAAAATACAGTAAATGTGATTGAAAAATTATGACCAAAATTGAATAGCATGTGGAAAGGCCTTCATAGTATGTACTATTGAAATTTGAATGTGCTTTTTCAGTCAAATTTACAAAAATCCCACTATTTAGAGGAACTTTACAGGTCTACTGTACTGTAATTAAAAGTGAGGTTAATCACTCTCGAGTTGTCAGTCTTGCTTTACAGCTGCAGGCTGTAAATTTGTCACCCTATGTTAGTGGAGAAAATTTCCAGTGTTCAAAAAAAAAAAAAAAAAAAAAAAATGGGGGTTGTGTATTTGTATACTGGTCTTTTGTGCTCCCTTTTTATTAACTGAATTCATGTATAAATTGCAAAATAATTATCATTGGAAAGGGTTGAAGATACAAGGTCACACCACATAGGAAATGGGAGGTAATCACATTTGAGTTGAGAAGGGGAAGAGTAGTTCCAATTTCTTGGCTCAAGAGCTCTTTGCCACCATAAAAACACCCCTGAAGGAATATATTTCTGGATGTGAAGTAGTGTAAATAACAGTAATGCTTTATAGCATAGAAAGTCTGCTTTCTATTATTTCTAAATTTGTATTTACAGGAGATGACTACATAGTGTGTGAAGTTGAGAATGGGGGAATGTTGGGAAGCAAGAAAGGTGTTAACCTGCCAGGTGTTCCAGTTGATCTTCCTGCTGTGTCGGAGAAGGACAGGGGTGACCTCTTGCTAGGTGTTGAGATGGAGGTAGACATGGTGTTTGCTTCATTTATCCGTGATGCTGCTGGTGTGCGGGAGATCAGGAGTGTTCTTGGTATGTTGTGTTCTTACAATTTTTATTTGAGATTTAACCCTTTCAGGGTTTCCGACATATTAGTACGGCTTGTGCACCAGGGTTATTGATGTACATACTAGAATGCCTAAATTCTAGTGCCTTCAAATCTAGCGAGAGAAAGCTGGTATATGAAAGAATGGGTCTGTGGTCAATGTTCACAGTGTAAAAAAAAATCCTGCAGCACAGTGCGTAACGAAAAAAAAAAACTGACTGTTTTTGGATTAAAACAGTGAATTTACACTGTATTTTTGTATGGTATTTATGGTTGTATTCTAGTTTTCCTGGTCTCATTTTATAGAATGGAAGACATATTACAGAAATTGAGATAATTTTGATTGGTTTCACAATGAGAAGTACCTTGAAATTGAGCTCAAAATAGCAGAAATCTTGGATTTTTACCAAAGTTCAAAAGTAAACAAATCATGCCATGCGTCCAATACACGTCAACTGGTGAGTCTAATATTCTTTGACAAGTGCGCCGATATTATTTATAGCATTTCTACACTAATGCAGTAGTCTGCATAACAGGAAATCTTTTATTTTTTGTGAGAATAAAAATTCAAAGTGGAAAGCAAAAGAAATATAAGAGGGGCCTGGGGACGTGACTAACAAACTGAGAACTTATTTTAGTGCCAGGAATATCTGTCTTGTTTATTCTGGATCCTGTTTGGAAATTGGCATCTTTTGAAATTTGTGTGAAATTGGCAAAATTGCCAATTTCTAACCACTTTATTGGATAGTTGAAATTGGTAAATGGGTGGTTTCTTGTACTCATTCGATAGAAAAAATGGAGTTCTAGCGAAATAAATATGATTTTTGTCAACTAATACACAGGAACTGGCCGAAAATAGGGATAAGTGGGCGAAATCACCAATGCGTAAACATCGAGACTGCTAACTTCGTGAGAGCATAATTCCGTAAGTTTTCCATCAATTTTCATACTTTAGGTGTCATTATGATAGGGAAAAGATTCTCTATCATTTCATAAGATTTTTTTTTTTTTTCTGAAAAATTTTCGACCCTGAGGACGAGTTTAGGAGAGGGCCTCTCGTCCCTGAAAGGGTTAATGCAGAAGGAAAGGTGTTCACATATAATCTGCATCTGTATATCTTTATTACCATCTTAGAAGTTTAAAAAGACAATTACTTGTAGGGAGTGCTGTATTATATGAAGTTAAACTATGAAGGTTGAAAGCTTAGATCAACTTGTTTAAATCTCAATATTAGTCTAGTATTAAGGTACTGCAATACCAGTGATTAAGTAATGGAAATTAGAAAGTGAAATTTGAGATATTAAAATCTAATGATTTATAAATTCTGCTATAAAAAGGAAAGTTAGTGGATAAATTTTTTTATAGTAAAAGTAGTTGTGGTTTTAAAAATGTATTAGCTTCATTATATAATTCTTTCATTTGAAGTGTGTTTTTAATATGACTGCTTCCTGTTCCAGGCGACAAGGGAAAAGACATAAAAATTATTAGCAAGATTGAAAATCACCAAGGTTGTAAGAACATTGATTCCATTATTGAAGAAGGTGATGGCATAATGATTGCCCGTGGAGACTTGGGCATTGAAATACCTGCAGAAAAAGTTTTCATTGCACAAAAACAAATGCTTGCAAAGTGTAATAAGGTAATTATATTTCCAGAAGCACTATTAAGATTAAAAGTGGGAAGTAATTATATTTCATTTTGTGCTTTGGAAGACTGTCATTAGGTTGAGAACAAAGGTGTATGCAAATTGGAGCTTAATTTGCATGCAATAATGCTGAATTTAACAACTGCTTCACAAAATGTAAACAACATTAATTACATTACTTGCTGTATGTACAGTTTCAATGAAAGACATTGGTATCAGTAGTACTATTATGATTAATGCAGCAAACCCTCATACCATGTGGAAAATGTTCCTGAAAATTGATGCTTTCTGGGAATTAGCAATATTGGAAGTAACTGAGAAAGTATGGGAAAAATGGATTACATTCTTAAGATTTCCAAATTTGCCAAGTAACTTAATTTTAAATATCCTACTAACCACAAATTGCTATAATTTATCTTGCCTGCACTCTACATGTCATTTCTTATTGCTATTGAAGTGTGTGTGTGAAGGGTAATGTGGCCGTACTGGGTACAGGGTAGATGACTGTAGCTCTTGTGATGTGGAGTTGTCAGTAGTTGGTTCTGCTGTAGTACTAAAGTATTCTATGCCAATCTGGTTTGTTTTACTCTGTAGTACTGTCTAGATCAGACAATAAAGTATTATTTCTTAATCAAAATTCCACCTTAAATCAATGCTTCTAGACATGTCATGGTACTTGACAGTGAAATAGTCTGCAATTTTGCTAATATGAAAGTGCTTTCATAACTGTTATGATATTAACTTTTTACCTCTGTTCTTCTTTATTCTCTTTTTAATTAGCCTCTTTCCCAGGCACTATATAACCCTTTCTGCTTTACTGCTCTTTCACTATAATCTCCCTCCCCCCAGTTGGCTGTCTCCCACCGAGGCAGGGTGACCCAAGAAGAAAGAAAATCCCCAAAAAAAGAAGATACTTTTATCATTCAACACATTCACCTCACCCATATCACTGTCTGCAGAAGTACCCAGATGCAACAGTTTAGAAGCATATATAAATATATATAACATACCCCTCCAAACTGCCAATATCCCAAACCCCTCCTTTAAAGTGCAGGCATCGTACTTCCCATTTCCAGTACTCAAGTCCGGCTATATAAAAATCACCGGTTTCCCTGAATCCCTTCACTAAATATTACCCTGCTCTCACTCCAACAGCTTGTCAGGTCCCAAAAACCGTTCACTTCCATTCACTCCTAACACTCGCACATGCTTGCTGGAAGTTCAAGCCCCTCTCCCACCAAACCTCCTTTACCCCCTCCCTCCAACCTTTTTTACGATGACCCCTACCCTGCCTTACCCTACTGATTTATACGCTCTGTCATTCTACTTTGATCCATTCTCTCTAAATGGCCAAACCACCCCAACAACCCCTCTTCAGACCTCTTGACTAATACTTGTAGTAACTCCACACCTAATTTCCACACTCCGAATTCTCTGCATAATATTTACACCACACATTGCCCTTAGACAGGACATCTCCACTGCCTCCAGCCGCCTCCTCGCTGCAGCATTTGCAACCCAAGCTTCACACCCATATAAGAGTGTTGGTACCACTATGCTTTCATACGTTCTCTTTGCCTCCATGGTTAATGTTTTTTGTCTCCGCATATACCTATAGGTTGGTAAACAGCAACCGCCCAGGGAGGAACTACCGTCCTGCCAAGTGAGTGTACAACGAAAACCTGTAATTGTTTTACATGATGGTAGGATTGCTGGTGTCTTTTGTCTCTCATAAACATGCAAGATTTCAGGCATGTCTTGCTACTTCTACCTGCACTTAGATCACACTACACATACATGTACAAGCATATATATACACACTCCTCTGGGTATTCTTCTATTTTCTTTCTAGTTCTTGTTTATTTCCTCTTGCCTCCATGGGGAAGTGGAACAGAATTCTTCCTCCGTAAGCTATGCGTGTTGTAAGAGGCGACTAAAATGCCGGGAGCAAGGGGCTAGTAACCCCTTCTCCCGTATAAATTACTAAATTTAAAAGAGAAATTTTCGTTTTTCTTTTTGGGCCACCCTGCCTTGGTAGGATATGGCCGGTGTGTTGAAAGAAAGAAATATACCTTAATGCACCACTCGCCTTTTTTCCTTCATCAGTTCTATGGTTAACCTCATCCTTCATAAACCCATCCGCTGACAAGTCAGCTCCCATATACAGTGGAACCTCAAATTTCAAACTTAATCCATTCCAGGAGCTAGTTCTAAATTCAAAAAATTTGAAATTCGAAGCAATATTTCCCATAAGAAATAATGGAAATACAATTAATCCATTCCAGAAACCCAAAAATATTCACAAAAAAAAAATACATTTTATAGAGATTAATTACAGTTTCACATACACACAACAAATGCTAGTCTTTAATTATGTATAGTAATATAAAATAACATTTTTACTTTCCTTTATTGAAGATTGGTGATGGCATCAGGAAGATAGGGAGGAGGAGAGAGGGAGTTGGGGTTACTGTTTGGAAGGAGAATCCCCCTTCATGAGGACTTCTGGTATCAAAGCCCTCTCTGGGGTTGCTTCCCTTCTCTGTATTTTAATGCCACTAGGAGGGGCAACTGAAATATCGGATCATTATTTAGTTGTAGCTACAGTTAGAGTAAGAGGTAGATGGGAAAAGAGGAAAATGGCAACAACAAGCAAGAGGGAGGTGAAAGTGTATAAACTAAGGGAAGAGGAAGTTCGGGTGAGATATAAGCAACTATTGGCAGAAAGGTGGGCTGGTGCAAGTATGAGTAGTGGGGGGGTTGAAGAGGGTTGGAATAGTTTTAAAAATGCAGTATTAGAATTTGGGGCAGAAGTTCGTGGTTATAGGAGGGTGGGTGCAGGAGGAAAGAGGAGTGATTGGTGGAATCATGAAGGGTGTGATAAGAGAAAAAGTTAGCTTATGAGAGGTTTTTACAAAGCAGAAGTGTTATAAGAAGAGTAGAGTATATGGAGAGTAAAAGAAAGATGAAGAGTGGTGAGAGTGTGCAAAAGGAGAGCAGATGATAGTGGGAGAGGCACTGTCAAGAAATTTTAATGAAAATAAGACAAATTTTTAGTGAGTTAAACAAGAAAGCCTAGAGAACGAATGTAATTGTCAGTTAAAAACAGTAGGGGAGTTAGTAGATGGAGGTTTTGGGTAGATGGCAAGAATATTTTTAGGAACCTTTAAATGTCAACGAAGAAAGGGAAGCGGTAATTTCATGCACTGGCCAGGGAGGTATACCATCTTCTAGGAGTGAAGAACAGGATGCGAGTGTGGGGGAGGTGCGTGAGGCATTATGTAGAACGAAAGGGGGTAAAGCAGCTGGAACTGATGGGATCATAACAGAAATGTTAAAAGCATGGGGGGATAGTGTTGGAGTGGTTGGTATTTTTGTTTAATAAATGCATGATATTGGCAGTTTGGAGGGATATGTTGTGTATCTTTATATGTGTATGCTTCTAGACTGTTGTATTCTGAGCACCTCTGCAAAAACAGTGATAATGTGCGAGTGTGGTGAAAGTGTTGAATGATGATGAAAGTATTTTCTTTTTGGGGATTTTCTTTCTTTTTTGGGTCACCCTGCCTCGGTGGGAGACGGCCGACTTGTTGGGAGAAAAAAAAAAAAAAAAAATGCATGAAAGAGGGGAAGGTACCTAGGGATTGGCAGAGCATGTACAGTCCCTTTATATAAAGGGAAGGTAAAAAGAGATGGTAAAAATTATAGAGGAATAAGTTTTCTGAGTATACCAGGACAAGTGTACGGTAGGGTTATAATTGAAAGAATTAGAGGTAAGACAGAATGTAGGATTGCGGATGAGCAAGGAGGTTTCAGAGTGGGTAGGGGGTTGTAGATCAAGCGTTCACATTGAAGCATATATCTGTGAACAGTATTTAGATAAAGGTAGGGAAGTTTTCACTGCATTTATGGATTTAGAAAAGGCATACGAGAGTGGATAGGGGAGCAATGTGGCAGATGTTGCAAGTATATGGAATAGGTAGTAAGTTACTAAATGCTGTAAAGAGTTTTTATGAGGAAAGTCAGGCTCAGGTTAGTGTGCGTAGAAAAGAGGGAGACTACTTCCCAGTAAAAGTAGGTCTTAGACAGGGATGTGTAATGTCGCCATGGTTGTTTAATATATTTATAGATGGGGTTGTAAAAGAAGTAAATGCTAGGGTGTTCGGGAGATGGGTGGGATTAAATTATGGGGAATCAAATACAAAATGGGAATTGACGCAGTTGCTTTTTGCTGATGATTGTGCTTATGGGAGATTCTAAAGAAAAATTGCAAAGGTTAGTGGATGAGTTTGGGAGTGTGTTAAGGTAGAAAGTTGAATGTGAACATAGAAAAGAGTAGGATGAGGGTATCAAATGATTTAGATAAAGAAAAATTGGACATCAAATTGGGGAGGAGGAGTATGGAAGAAGTGAATGTTTTCGGATGCTTGGGAGTTGACGTGTTGATGGATGGATTTATGAAGGATGAGGTTAATCATAGAATTGACGAGGGGAAAAAAGGTGAGTGGTGCGTTGAGGTTTGTGGAGACAAAAAACGTTATTTATGGAAGCAAAGAAGGGAATGTATGAAAGTATAGTAGTGCCAACACTCTTACATGGGTGTGAAGCTTGGGTTGTGAATGCAGCAGCAAAGAGGTGGTTGGAGGCAGTGATGTCCTGTCTAAGGGCAATGTGTGGTGTACATATTATGCAGAAAATTCGGAGTGTGGAAATTAGAAGGTGTGGAGTTAATGAAAGTATTAGTCAAGAGGGCAGAAGAGGGGTTGTTGAGGTGGTTTGGTCATTTAGAGAGAATGGATCAAAGTAGAATGACTTGGAGAGCATTTAAATCTGTAGGGGAAGGAAGGGGGGGTAGGGGTTGTCCTCGAAAAGGTTGGAAGGAAGGGGTAAGGTAGGTTTTGTGGGCGAGGGGCTTGGACTTCCAGCAGGCGTGCATGAGCGTTTTCGATAGGAGTGAATGGAGACGAATGGTATTTGGGACCTGATGACCTGTTGGAGGGTGAGCAGGGTAATATTTAGTGAAGGGATTCAGGGAAACGTTACTTTTATATAGCCGGACTTGAGTCCTGGAAATGGGAAGCACAATGCCTGCACTCTAAAGGAGGGGTTTCGGGATATTAGCAGTTTGGAGGGATATGTTGTGTATCTTTATACATATATGCTTCTAAACTGTTGTTTTCTGAGCACCTCTGCAAAAACAGTGATTGTGCGAGTGAGGTGAAAGTGTTGAATGATGATGAAAGCATTTTCTTTTTGGGGATTTTCTTTCTTTTTGGGTCACCCTGCCTCGGTGGGAGATGGCTGACTTGTTAAAAAAAAAAAAAAATAAATAAAAAATAAAATAAAAAAAAACATATCCCTCCAAACTGCCAATATCCCAAACCCCTCCTTCAAAGTGTAGGCATTGTACTTCCCATTTCCAGTACTAGAGTCTGGCTATATAAAAATAACTTATTTCCCTATAATTTTTACAGTCTCTCTTGTCTCCCTTCCCTGTGTATACAGGAACTATTCATGCTCTCTGCCAATCCCTAGGTACCTTCCCCTCTTTCATACATTTATAAACAAAAATGACAACCACTTCAACACACTATCCTTCCCTGCTTTTAACATTTCTTGTCATGATCCCGTCAGTTTCAGCTGCTTTACCCCCTTTCATTCTTTGTAATGCCTCATGTGCCTGAGCCACACTCAAATCCTGCTCTTCTTCACTCCTAAAGATGTTACACCTCCCTGACCAGTGCATGAAATTACCGCCTCCCTTTCATCATCGACATTTAAAAGTTCCTAAAAATATTCCCGCCATCTACCCACTACCTCCAAATCCCCATCTACTAACTCCCCTACTGTTTTTAACTGACAAATCCATTCATTCCCTAGGCTTTCTTAACTTGTTTATCTCTCCAAATTTTTTCTTTTTTTCAGCAAAATTTCTTGCCAGTGCCTCTCCCACTTTCATCTGCTCTCCTTTTGCACTCTTCACCTTTCTTTTACTCTCCATATAATGTGCTCTTCTTACAACACTTCTGCTTCATAAAAACCTCTCATAAGCTACCTTTTTTTCTTTTATCACACCTTTACTTCATCATTCCACCAATTACTCCTCTTTCCTCCTGCACTCACCCTCCTGTGGCTGCAAACTTCTGCAAAAACATTCTAATACTGTATTTTTAAAACTATCCCAATTCTCTTAACCCCCTACTACTCATACTTCCATTAGCCCACCTTTGTCTTTAGTTGCTTATATCTCACCCTAAGTTCCTCCTCCCTTAGTTTATACACTTTCACCTCTCGTATTTGCTGTTACCATTTTCCTTTTGGCCCATCTACCTCTTACTCAAACTGTAGCTACAACTACATAATGATCTGATATATCCATTGTCTGTCTATAAACATGTACATCCTGAAGCCTACCCATCAACCTTTTATCCACCAATACATAATCTAACAAACTATTTTCATTGTGCTATATCATACCTTGTATACCTATTTATCCTCTTTCCTAAAATACGTATTACTTATTACCAAACCTCTTTCTACACATAGCTCAATTAAAGGCTCCCCATTTTCATATACCCCTGCCACCCCAAATTTACTTACTATTCCCTCCACAACATTTTTACCCACTTTAGCATTGAGATCCCCAACCACATGTACTCTCTCACTTGGTTCAAAACTCCCCACGCACTTCCTCAACATTTCCCATAATATCTCTCTCCTCTACACTTCTCTTCTCCAGGTGCATAAACACTTACTATAACCCACTTAATTACTGTTATAATAATCTCTCCCTCGTAATTTAATTGAGGTCCTCCAGTAATTTTGCAGTTGGCTCAGTCACTTTTAAATCTTTTGAATAAGCAATTTTGTGGGTGGTTTACATCTGTTCTAAACTTTCAAGTATTGTACCAGAAACAAAACCAGTACTGTAATAGATTTTATGATTGATAAAAGTAACATAATGGGAATGATTGCATAGCTTAGTTTTACTAAAAATCTCATTCTAGGTTGGAAAACCAGTGATATGTGCCACTCAGATGTTAGAGTCCATGGTTAAAAAGCCAAGGCCAACTCGGGCTGAAGTATCAGATGTGGGCAATGCTATTATGGATGGAGCAGACTGTGTCATGCTGTCAGGAGAGACTGCCAAAGGAGACTACCCTTTGGTGTGTGTGCGTACGATGGCTAACATTGCAAGAGAAGCTGAAGCCGCCTTGTGGCACAAGCAGTTATTCATTGAGCTTTCTCAGCAGGTAAATAGCAGTTCTTTTGTGAAAATGGTTGGAATAAGACATGTAACATGATTCATCCTAATGCTAGTACACTGTTAAAAAAGTGTCGTCTTTATTACTCTTGGGATTTTTATTAGTTTGGCAATTTTTTTTTCTTGTAGGTTAAACTTCCTACAGACTCAACACACACCACAGCTATTGCAGCTGTAGAGGCATCATTCAAAGCAATGGCATCTGCTATTATTGTTATCACCACTACTGGTCGCTCAGCCCATTTAGTTTCCAAGTATCGACCACGCTGCCCGATCATGGCTGTAACGCGCTTCCCACAAGTTGCTAGACAGTGCCATCTTTATCGTGGCATTATTCCTGTTCACTACACACGTAAGTAGAAGTGTGCAAATGTTTATAGACCTTAATAGCATTGTCCTTGAATGTTAATTTATTCAGAGGAATTGGGTATTAAGGTGTTAGTAACAGTGGAATTAATTTTCTATTACTGTGCTTAAATTTAAAATATGTAATTTCTTAACATTAATTCTTATTTTTTTTTTCCCTCCTTCACCTGTAATCCAGTGCCTCAGAAGGGTACGTTGGTTTGAGAGAATTTTGAGTGAACTGTGAGCATAGTTTATACTAATTTGTTTTACCTAATCATGGCATCATTACTTTAATGATTTTTTTTTTTGTTTTGCAAGTTTGTCATGTTAAGTTTTTGGCACTGTTTTAACAAAAACCATTGCTAGTCTGAACACCTATAAATTAATTCTATGATACCTGACAGGTTAAAAAAATTAAAGGAAGTAGATAAAGAAGAAAATATTCAGTAGATTCTCAAGATGCATAGTGCATTTTTGTTGTATCACTCAAAAGTGTAACTGTACATTTAAGACATGCTCAAAATTTGTTAAAATGCATGGCGAAGAGCAGTGGAGAATTCAAATTTTTTGATTGCCCACCATGGAGCAAGCAGGTGTACAGATTGCCTTCCACTTAGCTTTTACATCCACATGGCACCTTGGTTCCCATCCTCTCCCCAATCTTCCAGTCTCCACCACCCTCACAACCTATGGTAATCCATTGAATTCTGGGACCATCTTTTGCCAATGAGACAGTTACTGTATGTTGGAAGTGGATGTCCTATAAAACCTACATTGGTAAGCAGGAATGATTTGCACCTAGTTTAAAGGCATTCAGGGGGCCAGTTTAGGTTGCATCTAAGCTCCAGTACATCACGAGATTTATAGTGTAGGTCCTCTTTATAAACTAGAACCAGTTACTTGGTGGTCTGACAAGGTGGCATGGATGATTTTAAGCCCATACTGCAGTGGCTGACAGGCAAGTTTAGCACTTGTACGTACTTTGATATACTACTGTGATGCCAATATTGTATATACAGTGGAACCTCAGTTTTTGTATGCCCCAGTTTTTATAGGATTCAATTTTCGATGACTTTTTTCGTTGAAATTTTATCAGTTTTTGTACATCCGCTTGGTTTTTGTAGAGTTGAAAATGGTCCATACCAAAAGCGTCAGCGTGACTCGCCCACACAAAACATCCCATGCATTTGTGACTGTCTGCATTTTTCTCGTTGAGTGAGCATCACCTCTCACGTTCATCCAAAACGTATCGCCAGGATGTACGGGAAGTCTGCATCAACAATCAGTTCCATCCTGGTGAAGAAAAAAGAAATTGAGGAAGCTGATATTGCGAGGGTGGGGGGGGGGGGGTAAATGTGCTAATGAAACAGATAGCAAACGGTTGAAAGTGTTGAGAAGTTGTTGTTGGTGTGGATCAACAAAAAAGTTAGTGGGAGATAGTGTTTTAGAGGCGATAATTTGCGAACAGGCAAGGCAGTTGCATGCGAATCTCGCAAAGAAAATGCCTGGAACAAATTATGCTGTTAGTGAATTTATGGCCAGCAGAGACTGGTTTGACAAATTAAAGAAGCAAACTGGCATACACGGTGTGATAAAGCATGGCGAGGCCGCAAGTTCAGACAAACATGGGACCGAAGAATTTGTTGACGAGTTCAAGGAGTACGTAGAGGCTGAAGGATTCCTTCAGCCTCTATGTACCTGACGAAACAGGCCTCTTTTGGAAGAAAATGCCAAAAGAGGACCTACATCATGCAGGAGGAAGACATTGCCAGGACACAAGCCTATGAAGGATAGGCTAACACTTTTCTGTGGTAATGCTAGTGGGGATTTCAAAATGAAGCGTTTACCTGTGTATCACTCTGAAAATCCCTGAGTGTTCAAGAAAAACAATAAGGCATGGGACACGAGGCAAATTTTCATTGAGTGGGTCAGTGAAGCGTTTTTGCCCAAGTGTGAAGAAATGCCTCCTGGAAGATCATTTGCCACTCAAGTACCTCCTGGTAATAGACATTGCACCTGCTCATCTTCCAGACTTGGAAGACCAATTGTTGGTGGAGTTTAGTTTCATCAGAGTGAAGTTCTTGCCCCCTAATACCACTCCTCTCATCCAGCCCTTGGACCAGCAGGTTATTTCAGACTTCAAAAAACTGTACACCAAAGCATTGTTTCAAAAGTGATTTGTAGTGACCTGAGACACTGAATTAACCCTAAAAGTTCTGGAGGAATCACTTCATTATCCTCAATTACATAAGTCCTATAGGTAAGGGTTGACAAGGAGTGACTTCCAGGATGATCATCTCTGCTTGGAGAAAATTGTGGCCAGAATGTGTCCTTGAGAAGGATTTTGAAGGGTTTGAGGCTGACCCTCCTGACAACCCTGTGCCTATTGTGGAATCTATTGTCTTCAGGAAAATCCATGGGGTTGGATGTGAGTGGCCAGGATGTGGAAGAGTTGGTGGATGACCACAGGGAAGAGCTAACCACTGAAGAGCTGCAAGACCTTCAACTGGAATAGCAACAGACCACAGCTGAGGAAATTGCTTTAGAGGAGGAGGAAGAGAGAGGGGAGAATGTGCCTCGTCCAGTGGTTAAGGACGTGTGCAAAGTGGTGAGAGTTGCAGAGTTTTGTGGAGAAATATCACCCTAACAAATCTGTTGCAAGTCATGTCTACAACATGTTCAATGACAATGCCTTGTCCCATTTTAGGTAAATCTTAGAGATGCCAGAAACAGACCTCTGGACAGATTTTTTGTGCAACAGGGGTACAGTGACTCAAGCTGGTCCTAGTGCCAGTAAAAGACAAAGAAGGGAAGTAACTCCGGATAGGGCCTTTATACCTGAAATCCTTATAGAAGGGGATTCCCCTTCCAAACAATAACCTCCCCTCCTCCCTCTCCCCTCCTTGCTGTCTTCCATACACCAACAAGTCTTTAATGAAGGTAAAAGTGATGTTAAATGTTCATTTATCCATTTCATTAGTCATTTATATTTTTCTCATTGTTTTCTGTATGTAAAACTATAGTTATTCTCTATAAAATATAGTTTGTTAATATTTTTGGATGTCTAGAACAGATTAATTGGATTTACATTATTTCTTATGGGAAATATTTCTGCATTTTTCGTATGATTCAGTTTTTGTCAGGCTTTTTAGAACTAATTAATCACAAAAACCAAGGTTCCACTGTATTTAACCCGTAAACGGTCCAAACGTATATGTATATACGTTTTTACCGCTACTGCCCCAAACGTATATTTAAGTTTTATTTTTCATTCCTACAAAATTGGTGCGATAGGCCTGAGTCGCCTAGACATGAGAGAATGGATGTGCGCACTCAGTGTGCGCAGTATCAAAAAAATCTGGGACGCCTGGGTACCGCATGGTAAGACCAGTTACATTCAGCTCCATCTTGGGTCAACATCATGGCACATCCTCGTGATTCACTCATGCCTCGTCATATTAACACTATTATTTGAGGAAGGTGATATGGAAGGTCAGTTTAGTGGATTTGACACACATGTGGCTACTAATAATCAAGGAAATAGTGAAAATATAGACGATAACCCAGATGACCCTCAGCCCATCACCTCTGGGGTGGCCAGTGTGGCCACGCCAGACCCTGGGCCAAGCACTTCTGGGGTGGCCAGTGTGGCCACACAAGACCCTGGGCCCAGCACCTCTGGAGTGGCGAGTGTTACCCATAGGCAACTACGCAAGAGGAAACTATCATTTTCCCGGTGTTTTAGTAGTGATAGTGAAAGTGATATAAGTGATGATGAGATTGATTTTATGCCATTAGAGGATTCGTCTAGTGACAGTGACCATTATTTACCAGCGAAGCGTACTTTTAGGCGTCATTACCTACGTTCAGGCAGTGTGCCATGTGCAATCAGAGGCAAGGGTCGTGGCAGGTCATGATCCGAAACCCCTGCCACTGATAGTGAAAGTGATGATGAAGGTGAAATATGTCGGGGAATGGGGAAATAGTGGTGGGTAGCATGGTGCCTGGACCACATGGCGCAGTGGGTGGACAGACAAAGGACCGTCCGGCACCCCCTCAACCATGTGCTGCCTCCACTCTTGTCCCCCCCCCTCCTGCTCCCCCCTCCTGCTCCCCCCCTCCCTGCTCCCCCCCTCCTGCTCCCCCCCTCCTGCTCCCCCCTCCTGCCCCCCCTCCTGCTCCCCCCCTCCTGCTCCCCCTCGCCCCATGCCAGAGGTCCACCGTGCACCATGTGACCGAGAGTGGAACTGGACACAAAGTATATTCGTGCCAGAGCCTTTTGATTTTGATGCGAGTGGAAGTGGCATCCTGCCAGAATGTCCCATAACGAAGGAGTCTACAGAGTTAGACTTTTTCCAGTTATACTTTGACGAGCCTATAATGAACTTGATAGTGACCCAGACGAACAATTATTACCGTTATATCATGGACAATACATACACCAGATGTTGGGGAATCGTCACAGCTGTGCAGATGGAAAGATACAACAACGGATGAAATGTATTTATTCCTTGGCACTGTCATGCTTATGCCACATACCCATAAGAACAATATATGTAACTACTGGACCACAGACCACTTTATCAGTACTCCTGTCTTCTGTGACCTCCTTCCCTGCAACAGATTCATTCTGTTGCTACGAATGTTGCACTTCTCAGATAGGAATAGGCCCAACAGGAATGACCACCTATACAAAATCCGGGAAGTGGTTATCTATACGAAGCAGAAATTCAGTGCCTACTTTTATCCCTTCAAGAATATTGTTGTTGACGAGTCTTTGATTTTGTTCAAGGGACACTTGTCATTCAAACAATATATACCAAGCAGACGTCATTGCTTTGGTATAAAACTGTTTGTGTGACTGTGAGAGTGGTCTTGTATTAGATGTGATTGTATACACCGGATTATTATTATTATTATAATCAAAGGGGAAGCGCTAAACCCGGAGGATTATACAGCGCCTGGGGGGGGGGGGATGTGGAAGGCATTCAGGCTTAATTCGGG